AGTCATTACTTTTGAACTCTTTAGACTCCAATACAGCTGAGGCATTTGGCCGTTAAGTAAAGGTCAAACCGAAAAATATCACAGCTATGTATAGTTACTTACTTTTGGCTTTGTTATTCCTATTTTGATAGTAACGCCTTTATTTGTTCCTTATTGTTGCACAAAAATACCTTTTAAGAGACAATGTCAACAACAGCTAATAAATAAGTTGACCAATAGCTCTACTTGTTACAAGTGTCTGGTGGAAGTTGCCCACGGCAGATGATGCTCTATTTACACAGCAAAATGTCAGGACCTCTGACATGAAAACTCCACACGCCCGGTGGCAAACAGTATGCAGTTTAAAAGTGAATCACCTTCCAACATCAAAACTGCAATCTTGTTGAAGTATGAATTGCATACCCCAGCGCCTTCCATACTTCTTGACTAAACAAAGAGCCTTACCGGGGGCAGGCAATGCTGAGGCACTTGCAATACCATCATGAAATTTATTTTCGTAACTCCACATGGCTGAAACACCAAAAATATGCGTCATGAGAAACTTCTTTACATTTTAAAAAGCGGGAATCTCTAATCGGGAAGTCTTTGTGTCTAGAGTCATTAAAGTGCAAACTACTTCAGATTGCATTTTTGAAGCAACAAGCTCTTTACGAAAATGGGATAAGTTATGAATAAGTGCACACCAAACCACAACTTTTGGTATGACTGTGGAGTCGACTTTGAAAAAAGGAAATGCGTTTTAAACTAGCCCTCTTTGTTTGCCTGTTTTAATTAGTTTTGATAGTATTAAGAATATTGACTACACTGTCACTAAATTAGCTTGATCTTGAAAAGTTACTTCCTTTCAAACGGTTGTTGCTTTTCTTAATTCAACTGAAAAACTGCTCAAGGCGACAGTCGCTTTACGAAGAAGTACATCAGTCCATTCACATTTGTGTCGGGACTTTACAATTTGTTGCGCAACAATGCAGGTAATATCTGCTAAGAGATCTGTAGACAAGACATGCGTTTGTCGTTGCTAAAAAGGTGATTTTCCTCCAGATTGGGCAAGACGGACACAAAGACAGCTGTTTCAATGGAACCTCCTCCGCGCTGTGTAGTAATGCTTTTCGGACAGCAAATGTTTATTACACATTGTGCTTAGTCACCAAAATTTTAAATTTTTCCTGCACTATCTTAATTGGCATGAATGCGTGCCATTTCAGAATGGTTAAACAGGCGTTCTTCATTAAATTGGCTCAATGTGAGGTGAGATTGATCGAATTGAGTGGTACCTACCACTTCGAGGACTGAAACCATTCACTTGGCCTGACTACCTATGCATTTAACTCATTTTCGGCCGATTTGGTTTTCTTTTCCTTTTTTTTTCTATCTTGGTGTGAGTTGAAGCAAATTCACCAGACACATGCAGCTTTTCGGCGTTAGTCACCCAACCCTTGGGACAATGCAAAAATAGCTGGTCATATTGTTGTATCAGTCCGATACACTCCCACTACTCGAATACTGGTGAAATGGCGTTGCGTTCTGGACTAATATTCCGCAGTAGAACAAGTTAGAGGGCATTCCCCAGAACCAGGTTCATTCGTTACACGAGCAACCTCTATAAAAGAATTGGTTGACATCTGACAAGCTGGACATGAATTTACCTTAGGACACTGTATTTTTAAAACAAGCAAAATGAGGGTGGTAAAATGCATTTTTACAATGTGGGCAACGGGAACATTTCTTTGTCGTTTGGCTTTTGGTCGAGGAGCCGAATGATTTGATAAACAATGAATTTCAACAATGCGGTATTTGAGGTAACTGGCGGAATTTTTTTATTGTCTTGGGAACGGCCTGCTTTTTTGGCATGTAGGGCTTCTGGTTGATTGGATCACTTCTCACGTGTACCAGAAGGTAGCTTCTTGTGCGTCTAAGACACATCCATAACCGCACGCGCCCTCACAAACATTAATTACAGTTAGCCGTGAGCGCGAAATGGGTTAAGTGTCCATTTAAAGAGTGTCTCCGTGGCCATTGGCGTGGGGATACCATTCGTTGGGGGCGGCGTGGCGTGGAGTAAGGATAGGGTTGGAGGCGGGACGCAAAGCGCTGTGCCGCTCAGCCGAAGGCGTGAGTCATTCTTCAGCCGAGAAGTGGATGTATGGAAGGGAAGGAGCATGACCAACTGCTAAATACACATACGCACATGCACGGATACAAGGCTTCAGTGCCGGCTTACATAACATGGTGCGCAAAGGGCAGTTTTTCTTGCCCCATCCTTGTCTGACGGCTTTGAACAGCTGCTTCCTGACGCGGCGGAAGGTATTTCACTCTCGCAGTTCTTGTGCCCCTGCACGCGAATACTGGGAACGAGTAAGCAAACGGAACAGCAAGAAAGCAGCAAAATCCTACCTTGCAAAGCTGTCATAACACTGCCTATAAAGGTGTAATGATGCAACAACGTTGTCTGTGTGCTTCTTCTTTTATTGCTATGCTTCCGCTAAAGGCTGCCAAAAGAGACAAATTGGGTCCCCTTGCACAATATGCTAAAATAATTCATTTGTTAGGTTAAAGTGTTTCTCCTCTGTCTTGATTGGTTGGACTTTACATTTTTTTTCTAGCACTTAGTGTTAAATATACGAACTCCCATTTACATTTGAGGGATGACTCTTTTTGAGTGTGGTGACGATTTAGATCTTAAATATCGCATTTAAGACTGACATACGCCAACTGTACAAGACAAAAATGGGTATGTCCCTACTGTTATTTGGCGGTGTGAACTAGTCTTTACACCAAATACCGATTTCAGAATTAAATGACGAGGAAAATTTCATTTTGAAGTAATTTTTTTACGTAATTGTTTAGCTACTCTTACCACCTTTAAATCTGAGAAAGGCAAAGAATTGCTGGTTTGTTTATTGGTTAGTGAAATTGTAATAAATGGAGCATTTTCTGCGGAACGTGACTTTGTTTTAAATTTACCAATGGCTTACTTCAAAATTGGACTTTCTTTCAAAACGTTTGCAACACTTTTGGCTAATTTTCTTTGGAGAGAAAACCTTGAAATAATTTCGTAATTACATCTACCTGTAATTGCATGGGAGTCAAATAATATTTTTAAGTAACCTCTTATAAAACTTATGATTTGCTTAGCTAGTCAAATCGGGCTACAAAGATTTTCGCTTTGTGGCAAGCAAAATGCGGTTGAAGGGTTTCCATCAAAGTGTGTGCTCAGGATGCATTAGCATTTTTTGCACCGACGTGATTCATTCAGCTAAATTTTAGTCAGTGCTTCTCCAAAACGCAAAAAAACCAACTATTACGCTTTCTTTTGGTATTTGTTTTGTGCTACCTTAAGCTAACTCTGGAATTCGCCAACTGTACAAAGTTGGAGCAGTCATGAGTCTGGGTTGGTGGCTTTTTAACGATGAAGACAACTTTTCGAAGCTCGTTGTTTCGAAGAAGACATCAAAGACAATTTAACCGCTAGAAATG